TAAAGATAAATTATCTTTTTAAATTATTAATTAAGATAAATTATTTATTTTATCATGTCAATTTTTTGTTAAAAATATTTATATGACAAATAAATTTTTAACATGTGGTGATATCATAAATTAAATAATAAATAATTTATTTTAATTAATGATTTAAAAAAATAATTTATTTTTATTTAAAAAAAATAAATTTACTCTTATTTTTTTTATTTGCTGTGCAAATGTGAGGTTCTACCTATAGAAAAAGTTGTCCATATTTGTCTCTCTCTTCTTTCCCCTTTTCTCTCATTTCTCTCTTGCTTCGGCCTCCCTTCTTGGGCGCTGCGTTTGTTTTGATTGGAAGCCTTTGAGCTTCCAAGGTTTTGATGCTTGAGCCGCTGGGCTCCCGGGCCGCTCAAACATGCTGGAGCCGACCTGTGCTCTCTCCTCCGATGACCCTTCGGGGTCTGTCGGTTTCTGGGTCCCTTTTCAGTGACACCTTTTGGTTTTTTTGTTTTGTTTTATATTCTTGTACAGTTTGTTTTTTTCAGATCCGGTGAACCTTGGCTCTTTCCTGTTGATCTTGGTAGGGGCTCGTTGGTTTTTTCTGTTTTTTTGTTCTGTTAGGTGCAAATCCGGAGGCCTTCTTTCTCCTCCTGCGGATTTGAGGCGGCGCGCGCGAGGGCTACCAGATCTGACGCCCACCGTGGCTCTCCTGCTAGTTCTGAGGGACTTCTGCCACCTGTTCGGGTTACCGCCCCTGCATCCTGGAGCCTTGCGCTATTTCTTCAAGGGTAGATAGAAGGGTGTCCCATATGGATCGGTCGACCGAAGGCCGTGGTATTTCCGAAGTCGTTCGTGGTTGTTCGAGTGTTGAGTGCACCTCCCTTCAGCCTCTGGATATGAGTCTACTCTGATCTTTTGTTCCAGTTGTTTTACTATTTGTTATCTTTGTAGATGCTGTATGGCGATCTTTGTAATGAAACCATTCCTTTATGCTCAAAAAAAAAAAAAAAAGTTGTCCAGTGCTAACTAAGATATTAATAAGATTTAAGAGGTTTCAGCAAAATATCTAATGCAATATTGAAGGAGCTTCTAGTCATATGGGTTCTTTTTAATTAATATGTACTTTGATTTCTATTTTAGTGATTACTGTTCAATTACTTGATTCAACGTTTTAGTCGTTTGTATTGGTTGGTTTTAATTGATTTGAGTATAGTAACTGATTCAAGCGAAAGAAATTGAAGTGAAAAGGCTGGATGGAGAGTAATTGTGAGTGAATCATGTGTATTAAGATTATCTTTCAACATCAACAATTTAAAGTTTTCTATCTAATGTTTAATTAGATAGGAAATTTGAGTGTTTTGACTTTTAGTCATGAATTAGGAAAATTTTAGTAGTTGAAATCCTTCATTAAATGTTGGATACTGGTACGAGTCCTTTGGCATCATTTTTGCCAAAACATTTTTGGCAAAAACTTACTTTGAGCCCCTCACCTTATTAGGTTTAAAGATTTTAGCCTCTTATTTTATATTATGACACTTTTAATCCCTTACCTTATTAAATTTATAGATTTTAACCCTTTACTTATTAAAATTGAAGAAAATAATTCTCACTTTATATTAACTGTTAACGCTATTAGTTAAAAGTAGAATTTTATCAATTAACAGTTAACTAATAACTAATTAATAGAATTAACGAAATATTATAAAATTAGTTTTGTTAACTCTGTTAGTTGAAAGAAAGTTTTTGATAATTAAAAGTCAATTAACAGTTAGTTAATAGACTTAATAATTAATTAACAGAACTAATAAAATATTACAAAGTGAAGGTTATTTTCTTCAATTTTAATAAGTGAAGAGCTAAAAATATCATAGTATAAGGTGAGGAGTTACCTATAAATCTAGTAAAATAAAAAACTAAAAATATGATAATATAAGATGAGAGATTAAAAATTTTAAATTTGACAAAATAAAAGGTTAAAGATAGGTTTTTGTCAACATTTTCACATATGAATAACTTGCTTTTTGTACGTCCTAATAATTACTAGCACGGCATTTTTCAGAAGATACATCAACTCTTTTTCGTTAGATGCTTAGGAATTTTTAAGTAAGTTTTGTATATTTTAAAATTAAATTTTTAAACAATTTTAAAAATAGATTCTTATAATTTGATATATTTAAAAAATTAATTCCTCTAAGTATTACTTAAAATTTGCTCTCTCTAATTAATTATTTAAATAATTTGATAATATTTTTTTAAAGTAAGAGATTATAAATATAAATCGTATGATGTGTAGATAGAATAAAATAAAGGATAATAAAAAATTATTTTACATTGTACAATTAAAATAAAAAAATTTACTCTTTTTATTTGAAAATAATTGTTATTTTTTGATTTTTTAAATTAAAGATTTGAAACAATTCATGTATTTATTTAGGAAAAAGTTAAAAGATAAAATAAAATTTTTGTAATAGAATAATTAATTAAAATAAATAGATAATAATAAAATTAAAATAGAAATAAAATATTTATCTATTTAAAAAAATGAAAATTAATTTGAAATAAGTTTAAAATTAAATAACAACAATTATTTCGAATCAAAAAGAGTAAAATTAAATCTAATTTATAAAATAATAATTACTATTAAATCCAATGAATTTAACTCTTGATGCTAGAAAGATACACCTACTTACACCACAAATAACAAACCAAAAACGTTCACATTCACACTCACACACTGTACCTCACGTTGCTAGCCATTCCCTGCATCCGTCCCAGCATTAAGCCGATGTGGGGATCCATTGATTTAGTCACTCGACATTTTAGATGTTTATTTTGTTTCGGTTAATAGTTGAGGAGGGAGGGTAATTGATATATCTCTCTCTTACCTCCCTTAATCTTGTGTGCGTAGTTGTGTTGTGGGGATGAAGGAAGGGATTTGTTCGAATACAAGAGTGTAACTTAAAAACAATTAAGTTTCTTTACTTTCTTTACATTAAGTTTTAAAACAATTAAAAACAATAGTTATATTATTGAGGATAAACATAAACCTTAACATAAATAATAATTTAATTCATAATAGTGTAACTTAGGAGGAAAAAAAATGAATAGTTTATTAATTAATGATTATATATAATAATTAAATAATAAATAATAAATAAATATATCATTATATTATTATATATTAAATATATATAAATATATACCCTATTTAATACATAAGGTAACATTTTATATATATAGATTAAAATGTATGTTAATGACTGTACTATAATTTTAACTCGTTATAAAGTCACCCATTTGGACGTAATTTTTTACCCAATTTTTTATTTTTGAAGGTGTGTTGAATTGGCATTAATTGTTTACAAATGAAATTGTACCAAAAACGTCCTACCATCTGATTTCCCTTTTTTT